CGCCCCCCCCCCATGGTACAGGGGACCCCCTCTGCTGCCGACCCCCGCTCCTGTGGCTCAGGGGAAACCCTCCCGCGTTCCTCCTTTCCCGGGGCCGCCCCCCCCTCCGTGGCACAGGGGAAACCCCCCCCCCGCATTCCTCCTCCCCTAGGGCGGACACCCCCTGCCCTGGGGCCGACCTCCCCCCCCCCGTGCGCTGCCTCTCCCAGGACTTACCCCCCTCCTGGCTGCAGGGAAGCCATGCTCCAGGTAAGGGAAGGGAAGGGGAAATGGAAGGGGCAGGGTTTGGAATTTGGCGCCCCATGCAACTTGGCGCCCTAGGCAGCTGCCTAGTTTGCCTATATGCACGGGCTGCCCGTGCTTCCACTGGCTGTAGTTCCTAGCCACTGGAAGCAACTGGAGTGTAGCCTAAAAGTGAATGTAGATATAGCATAGAGTTAGAGATTGCCTGCACTGCTGTTCAAAGAGCCACGGCCTCCACTTGCCAGACAGCACCCAGGGGCCGGCTGCAACCCGTGGCTAACACAGGTCCAGCTCATGAGGCTTTGAGGTGCTCCTCCTCTCTGCACAGCAGGGCACACTGGTGCCACAGTTTGGGGGGTGTGGGGCACAGCGAGCCTTGGCACTCCACCACCCAATGGCTGGAGCACCTGCACTGGCTCACCCCCCTGAAGGGAGGGAGCCCCAAGCATCACAGTTTGCAGCACTCATGCTACAGTAAGGCAGATTCAGTATTTTGGATAGCAATAGAGGACTTTGTACTAGATTTACACTGACTATACGTCCCGATTTTTATGGGACTGTCCTGAATGCAAATGCTCTGTCCTAGTGCCCCATCAAGTAGTGAAATGTCCCGGAAAGCCAGGCTGGACATTTCACTACTTGAGGGGGACACTGGCATGGTGCAGCAGCCTCCGCCCACCCAGCAGGTTGTGTAGGGCAGTTGGACCAGCTTCCAGTGCTGTGAAGCCCCCCTCTCTCCTCCTTGCTTACTCTCCCCCATAGGATTGCCTCTGCCACGCAGGGTCCTGGTCAGGCGGCCCTGCCTCCTTCTCCTTCAGGCTGCATTGGAACCCAGGCAGGAGCCCGGCTGGGGCACTGCGGGGCGGGGTGCACTTGGATTCGGCAAGTGCCGGGACAGGAGCAGAAGCTCTTGAGGAGCTAATTTTAATGCTGCAGTCCAGATCCTCACAAGCAGCCCTGGCTCCAATTAAAGTCAAGCAGCAGCCGCGTGAGGCATGTTTCAGCCTGGGCAGCCTCATGCAGTTGCCACTTGACTCCAGCTGGAGCCGGGGCCACCCACGAGGACCCAGACTGTGGCACTAAAAATAGCACCACGGGAGCCTCCGCTCCAGTCCTGGCAAGCGGACTCGCCCCAGAAGCAGCTGGGTCCAGACCATGGGCTCCAGCCTGCCAAACTGGAATGCAGAAAGTGAGGGAAGGGGCAGGGAAAGCTGAGAGGAAGGGGCTTGTGCTGAGGGGAGGAGGAGCAGGGCAGGAGAAGAAAGGGGAAGACACCAAAGGGCAGGGGGGAGGAGAGACAAATGCCAGGGAGACAATGAGGAAAAGGGCAGGAGGAAGGAGGGGAGGTGTCAGTGCGGATGGGAGTGGGGAGAGGACAGGGTGATGCTGGGAGAGGAGAGGGGAGGGACAATGGGGACAAGAGGGAGGAAAAGGAGAGGGGAGGAGTGAGTGCCAAGAGAAGAGGGGCTGAAAGGGTGGGCATGAGGAAGGCAGGGGATGGGGCAAGACATGTGTGAGGACACAGAGGACGTGAGGAGAACTTGGGCAGAGGGTGGTGAGGGGGTGGGCACCAGGAAGAAAGAGGGCAAGGAGGGCAGAGGCAGTAAGGAAAGGGGGAGGCACCAGGAAGGTGCAGGGGTAAGGGAAGGTGCAGGTGCCTGGGGATTGTAGTGTGAATCAGAAGGGCAGACACATGGGGGGTGGGGTGGACACCAGAGAACAGAGGCAGGGCAGGTGGGTAGAGGGAGATGTTAGGAGAGGGGATGGAGAGGGGTAGCTACAGATGATCAGAGTGGGGCTAGAAGAGAGTGGACACAGGGGGAAGAGACGAGCTGGTTCAGGGGAGGGGGGCAGCAGGCACCAGGGGAGCAGTTGGGGCAAGGGGAGGGTAGGAGACATGGCAGCAGAGGGAAAAGGGAGAAGTTTATAAGATATTTATTAATAACTTGGTTGCCACAGTGGCACACATCCAAACAAGTGCACATGAATTCAATACTGGTGCATAAGACAAAACTCACTCTGCTCATGGGAAGAAAATCTTAGAAGGAACACTGTCCTCAGCCTTCCCCCAGAGTTAACGCAATGCAAATTGGGTTAATGCAATTGCAAGATAGTTGCATGGGGAGGGGGGGGGGGCTGTTGGGACCAAACTGTCCCCTATTGTTAGAGGACGGTGGGAAGAGTTCTTAGAGGGGTCACACGACACCGTTACTTTTGGTCATGTGTCCATCTTGACCCCAGGAGGACTACCTCCAGGGGTGGGACTTCTTGTGGCAGGGGGCAGGGCTAGCTGGGGGCAGGGGGCATGGCTAGCTGGGGTCAGGGTGTGTGGCTGTGTCCCTAATTTTGGTTCAGAAAATATGGTCACCAGCCTTCTGGATTTGTCCTCGAGATTGTCACCCTTTAAGATTTTGAAGTCAAGCTGTGGATTTATTTATGTACAGATTGGTTGATGACTTGGACTAAATATTCAAACACACAGAGAAGCCCGTTAAAATAGAAGCCAAGTTCCCAATTCTGAGTGCCTCAACTGAAATTCCTATAGCCTGATTGAGCATATCATGTGTGTGGTGGGGCAAATCACAGAAATCTCCTTGGGGTTTACACCCCTGTGCTGATCAAGCCATTGATACTCACCTTCCTGCCCTCTGGGGCACCCCACCACCCTGTCCTGCTGGGCCAGAAACTCTGGTCTCCCCCAGCCAATGCACAGAGTTAGGGTTACCACTCCCATTATCAATGAAAGAGATATGCACAGTGGTTGCTTCCCCCTGGTAAACAGTTATTTACAGTAGGCTTGATAATAAACAAAAGTAGGATTTAAATGATTGCAAGTGAAAACAGAAGAAAGTACGTTACTAAGTTAAAATAATACTAATATCCTCAGAACCTTCTTACATGCAAATTCTTACTCTAACCAGTTGTGAAAATGCTTGAAGGTCTGAAGTTGATCTTTACTGTGGCCTGGGTCTACAGCTTTTTCCCGAGTTCTTTACTTTCAGGTTTCTTCATGTGTATCCTATTAGGGTGGGCCAGGCAGTTCAAAGGCCAGCTAAAGACAAAGACCTGATTGTTTTCCTTGAATAGATTTTCCCCCAAGGCGGGAACCCTTTGTTCAGGCTCCCTATCCCCATGGAAAAATATAAGATTCAAGATGGACTCCAGTACCAGTTGGCATGGTCACATTTATTCCTAAAATATCACTAATGACCCTCATTAGCACATTATAGCTACACTTTATATTTCTAACTTCACATATAAGAATGATACGTACACAAAAAGAGGATATACAGATTCAGCAGATTGTAACTTAAAAATCAATGCTACATAATGCATTTTGCATAAATCATCTTTGAGTTATGCATATTAATATGCCAATTTCATAATTCATGAGGGGGCAGTGGCAATAGTCTTAAAGTCAAGCATATGAGCAGTCCTGTTGATTTCACTGGGCCTTCCTCTTGTTCTTAAAGATAAATATGTCTCTGGATCAGGGCTCTAAATAGCAGGGGCTGGATTTTCCACAGTACTTACAAAATGAGATCTGCAAGTTCTCAGCAAATGTGACATTCAGGCCACTTCTACCCAAGTGCCAGAATATGGCTTTAGAAAATTGGGGCTTGATTTCCACTGCACTCCAGCCAAATGAGGTGAAGCTGCACATGGGGCAATTTTAACAAAGGCCTCTGGAATAAAGTTCCTCCCTGCGGGAACAAGCCTCCATGGGGAACTGGGAGCCTTAATGAAATTGCCCCCTCACTATTCCCACCTCTTGCCTAGTTTTACATCAAGCAATGAAGTCCTGCGGAGGAGGTGGAAGAACAGCCTCCATTACATTCTCTCCCACATAGTTAGATCTTTACTGGAGAATTCCCCAGCCTCCATTACATTCTCTCCCACATAGGGGAAATTCTCCAGTACAGATCTAACTGTCTCAAGCTAACTTTGCACCATGTAAGTTTGGGCCCTTAATTTTACCTAGAAGCCAACTTCTGAAAAAGACCAGTATAAAAATGCGGCATTATTGTAAGTGCAGCCATTAAATTCATTCCCTGCACTGCTAGTATGACTAGATAACCATAGGGCAAACACTTCTTTTTGTTCATTGCAGAGTTAAACTTTGCCTCTCGCTGTGCATCCATTCAAAATTCAAGTAATGTTTAAACAACTGAAAAGACTCAAAGACAAATGCCTGCTCTTTGAAATAATTAGATATTTGAATCTGCTCTGATTGATCAGATTGACAGGTAATGGAGAGCTTCTTTGGTCAACTGTACATGGATGATTCTCTTAAGTCAAGGGAATGAAATTTCAGGGCAGAAAAAGTCAAATGCAGCCAAGATTAACTGTCACTTGAGGATCTTGAGTCTCAGCTGACACTGCAGGCAGAAGGTTGTGGCTCATGCTGTAGAAAAATCGATATTAATTAATTACTAATATTCTATGATCTAGTTAATTATTTTTTATCAAAGTCAAAATTTCTTGCTCAAGTTATAGTGAAGAACCAAATTTCAGAAAAAAAAATACCAATACTAACACTAAGCAGAGGTTGTAAATAAAAAATGTCAGTGTCCGTTCAAAAATCTCAGAGGGGTAGCTATGTTCATCTGTAACTTTAAAAACGAGTGGTCATATGACACACTTAGGGTATGTCTACACTACCCTCCTATTTCGAAATAGGAGGGTAATGTAGGCATACCGCACTTGCAAATGAAGCCCGGAATTTGAATTTCCCGGGCTTCATTTGCAAAAGCCGGGCGCCACCATTTTTAAATCCCGGCTGGTTCGAACCCCGTGCCGCGCGGC